TTTATGCTGAGAGGTTTCTTCTTATTTCTGTAACAAACTGCAATGCTGAAAAGTATGCTATTTGTCATGATTCTTAAACTGCAGCTTCTTAAATCAAGAAATTTGATACAGCAAATCCTACTGTCTTTCTGCGATTTTCTTTTATTTGGATTTGAAAGTGATGGAAATCCAGCGTGATCACATTAGGCTAAAGCATGGCTTGACTTGTGTTGGGATAAAAGGGAGCAAGATTGTCTTTTCATGTACAGACCAGTAACCTCTGGTTTGTTGAAGGAGACAGAAGGGTTACTCACTGCATATGAAGTGGATGGGGAATTAGAAGGAATAGACAAATGCCTTGACTCTCCCTGGGAATGTGGCAAATACAAAATAGCTAACAGAATAGTGAGTACTGTAATTTGTTCCTGGGAAAGGTCAGCAGCATTTTATTTCTCACCCATGAGTAAATGGGAGTATGATATTCTGCTTTGGAAGACATGTTTCCTGGTTATCAATTTAAAAATATAATTAGAGCCAGAGCCAAGATTTTCTGATATAAACATCTTTTTTTTTTTTCTTAAGAAAACTGTAAAAGCTTAATTTCAAACTAGAATATTTGCTGAATTTTAAAATCAAAATATCATCATTAAAAAAACTTGGATTTTTAAAAGAAACATTGAGATTTCTCCCAAAGCTCTTTTAATCAGAGATTATATTAACATCAAATGTAAATGTATCTGAATCCCCACTTCTGTGAACTATTTTGTGGGTTACTGTGATATCTGCAGGAGGGTTACTGTGATATCTGCAGGAGGAGTCTGTGCCTGTGTTATCTAGCATGACAAGGGACTGCACCACGCTTCAGGGCTTAAATTATAAAGGGACTAACAATTCTGGTTTGACCAAAATAAGCTTGTACTAAAAACCCCATAATCAGCATTTAACTGTTTTCCTTTTAATCCGTGGAATTTTCTCATGTGAGAATGCTGTTTATAGAAGTAAAATCTTGACACATTTAGAAAGAAAATATATGCATCACAAATTCTTGACCAATGCTAATCACACAGAGGTATTTCAAGAAAAAAATGTGCAGTGAGTCTGTTCTCCCCCACAAAGCAATTTTCAAAATAATAAAGCAGAATAAACCCAAACATTGACTGGTGAACACAGAGTCAGGCAGCTGCCAGAACCTCGTGGTTTGTGCTCTAAGATGTAACATTCCACTAAGCCCATGTTCTACTTCTTACTTACCAACAATGCACCCCAGTGGGATAAATCGCACACGAACAGACAAGCAGAAGAATGCAGAGCCCACACAATTAGGGCTTTGAATTGGAACGTGCACACTTCACGGAAACAACCTTTGGGCAGGTATTTTCCACTTGTCAGGACAAATTGGTAATGAATTACAAATCAATTTAATCAGGATCATCCTTCCTGTAGCTTTCAGGTTTAGTGGTTTCCAGGGCCTCAGAGAATATTTTAACAGAGACAGCAGCTGTTGACGTTGCCTGGTTGTTCTTCCCCCCCATTTGTTCTGGCTCACCAAAAGACCAGGTGATGCTAATCATTAGTGTTTGCAAAGGTTAACAAGCTCCTTGCTATACTCTTACTAGGTAGGCAGTTAATATTCACACTTTATATATGAGAAAACTTCAGCAAAAGATCTGTGCTATCACAATACCTTGCTACTCACAGCATGGGTCAAAGGTGGAGAGTGACATAATGCCACAGACTGGTGGAAGGACAGAAATGGGACTACCTTTCTGACCAAATACTACCTTCACATGCTGGTGGCTGCGCTCCATCAGCCTCACATCCTTAGTGTGCTTGTACCTCCTGCACATGGGATAGCTGCATTCCTGGGACGGGGCGTGGTATATGCTCCAAGCAAAAGGTATTTTTTTTCCTGAGTGAGCACAGCCCTACCTAACAACATCAGCAGACTCCTCCAGAGTGTGGATCTGTGACAAAGTCGAGCAGCTGGCTTCTGACTATAGGTTTACAGGCTCATCAGTCACCTTGCATACCACCCAGCTAGGAATCCCACACCTAATTCATCTTGAGGAAGGTTAAATACCCACAGGAGGCTGGAAGGGAGAAATCAACTTGGTATTTAAATAGAAAGAGGAAAGAAAGACAGTCCTAAGATAATGAGCTATAGTGAAAATATTTGTCAGGTAGACAGAAAAAGCCGGTAATCTTGAGCTTCAGTATTTTGGATAAAGAAAGGGGAAAGGGCTATGTCTAGGGGCATAGTATGAAGCTTGTTTAGTCTATGACAGCAGAGAAAAATGAAGTGAAGACTTACATGCTCCATCTCTGCTTTAAGGGATTGCTTTCTCACACAGGGAGTTACCGAGCTGTGGAGATGCTTCTGCTCAGCAAGGCACGTGTTGCTCAATAGCACGGGTTTACTGAGCTGCCTTAGCAGGTGAAAAGTGGTGAAATACATGTGTACAGCCAGAGCTCAGCCTTCACATGGCCTTGGCTGCATTGGGATGGCTTCCTCTGTCCCTAGTGTGGGACCTGCCAAAGGTAACATGGTCAGTGATGGTGGCCCGTCTAGGTGATGGTCTCTGGGTGAGCCTCTCAGCCCCGGGGAAGCCGAGTGAATCCACTGTGTGGATGCGGCTGTTTTGGGATCCCCTATGCTGGAGGAGGCTCTGCCCTGAACTGCCCTCGGCAAAGACGTGGAGTTGGGCACGGGGCTCAGGCGAGCGTTCAAGTGCCGCTGTTCTTCTGCGGGCTTGGAGGCAGACTTTATCGATGGGAAGGATGACAGAGAGTGGGCTCTCTTTAGAGACTAAAGGCGGCAAGGGGAGGGCCTGCAGGCAAGCGAGGGCGGGCGGCACTCGGGTGCAGAGATGTGGACGTGGAACAGCTACAACGGGCGTGAGTCGCGGCAGGGACTGAAGCGGGCCGCGTCCTCCCCCTC